GTTCACCCAGCTCCTCCTTGTCCCATACATCACAGCCCTGGCTTCCTCTGGCGTGTAGTTCTATCACACCTATCCTGGCTGAGGAAGGTTTACTTGGACCCAGAGCAGGATTGGAAGGGCCCCAGGGGGCAGCTGACTCCAATCCCCACCTCCTTTTACCAGATGGAAAAGCTGAGGCCCAGAGGAGAGTGGGCAGATGCCTTGTCAGAAGCTGCAAAGCAGGGAAGCAGAGCCCTGGGGAGAATCCAGACTCACAGCTGAGGTTGGAGTCCTTTCCAGCCCCCTGATGCCAGGGCCAGCTTTATCTGAGTAGCTAAGCCTGTAGGAGAGAGGTGATTCTGAGTCTCAAGGGGCTCTGGTCACACCCTCCTCAGTATCAGAGCTGCCTTTCCGGTATCTGACCCAGTACCACTAGTTTTGGGATCTAAGTAACCACAGTCAGAGCCCATTGGCCAAGGGTAGAGGCAGGAAGGAGGTGGGGGTGGAGGCCCAAGGGGCCCCACTCCAGGGCCTTCGGGGAGGAAGGGCGGGGCCTAAATGTTCAGGGCTGTTGAGAAATGTTAGTGTTCACACGCGAATTACAGAAGCTCTCAGAAGGAAGAACACCATAAATACAGGCCTCAGTCTCCCCATCTCTAAGATGGGCAGAGATATTCTGCCAAAGTAATGCCTGAATTTGATTTCATTGAAAATCAAACACTGGCAGGGACATTAAAGATTTAATTCATCCCCTTCATATCATACAGTGTGTGGTCAACATTTCCTCACTGGCTGGAGGACAGTCCAGTGTGACTGTACAACCAACTTAAGGTTAGACGTGCCAGGCTGCACTACTCAGCTGCACCGGGGGCATAGTCTACGCTCTGAGCGCCCGCAGGACCCCCAGAGCACACAAGTCAGGGGCGGATGTGGTCTCCACTGCTGCTGTCTGACCGATTGATGCGGTGTCTCAGGGGAGGAAAGGACCACTTCCTTCTTAAGCACCCCTGCACCTGCTGAGCCAGACCACAGCAGACAAGCGTCAGAAAGGCCTTGAGTGCAAGGCCTCACTTCGCAGACAGTGACACTGAGGCCTAGAGAAAGCCTTTCTAATACACCTGTCATTTATTTTCTTCCTCCCTAGAGCTCCCATTTTCTTGTTCCGTATCAGCTTCCCAGGGTGTCTGCTAGTTCTGGTTGCCTCAGAGGGCCTGGAGCTGGCAAAAACACTAGACATTATTTCTAGCATTTGGGTCAGCCTGGCAGGCAGGACCCTGAAGGAGCTGGACAGAAAATGGTGTCAGTAGCTGGATGGGGGTGGGGGAAGAGACAGGCTAAGGGCCCAGATACCTGTCTCCCAGTCTGATGGCAAATTGGGAGTCCAGAGCCAAGGTCCTAGCTTGTCATCTGCTTGCTGTGCGACCTCAGGTGGGCACCCTTCCTTTTCTGTGCTTCTGTTCCCTCCCCTGCATGGCATGGAATTGTGCAATGGGATATGTAAGAGCCCTTCTGGTTTTGACATGCTGTGGATGGGGAAGAAGGGGCACAGTGAGGTCATCTTGCTATCTCATCTTCTGTCGATCCTGTCCTGCTTGTTTGCTCTGGGCAGGGCAGGGGCAGTTTGACACACTCAGCTGTTAGCTCTGGTCATGGAGGGGGGTTCTCTGGAGAGCAGGAAAGGAGGGGCCCTTGCTCAGGAGGCCTGGGTGAGAACCTGGAGCCCTCAGCCCTCCACACCATCCCCTGTTCTTCAGCAGCCAGTGTAAGGGTGGTTGTAAAAGAGAGGGCAGGATTGCCTGAAAGCAGAGAATGACAGAGCTCAGCCACCTCCCAAGTTGCATGCAGCATGCTCCCAATTCTACAATGGCACTGTCAGCAGAAATAAGTACCCATTAGTGAGGACGAAGAGGATGCACAGGATGCTCAGGGCAGGACTGTTTGCAGTAGGGAAACGCTGTAAACTGGGGACTGGCTGGATACACTCAGGGACATAACACTATGTCATTTCATTCATATGTTTCAGGGAGTGAAGTAGACCTTTACGTACAAACACAGAAAGGCATTTAGTAGAATACCAATATCCAAATTAAACTATTTCTTTTCTGTCACCCAGGCTGGAGTGCAGTGGCGTATTCTTGGCTCACTGCAACCTCTACCTCCCAGGTTCAAGCAATTCTCCTGCCTCAGCCTCCCCAGTAGCTGGAACTATAGGCACGTGCCACCATGCCCAGCTAATTTTTGTATTTTCAGTAGAGACAGGGTATCCCCTTGTTGACCAGGCTGTTCTTGAACTCCTGACCTCAGGTGATCTGCCCGCCTCAGCCTCCCCAAGTGCAGGGATTATAGACGTGAGCCACCACGCCTGGCCAATTCTTAGGATTTTTAAAGCAATAATGCATTCAAGAATTACTTGTATACAAAGAAATTAACAACAACAAGAAAAAGATACCTCTCTTGGAACCTGAAAGCCTTCAACAGAGTCATGGTACAGACAGAGAAATCAAGGCTGGGGAAGAGAACAGTTAGCAAAAGAGGCAGAAGTGGACCCATTCTTAGAATGACAAATACTAGAGGTTGGGAAGGACGTGTGTGGGGTGCGGGGAATGAAGAAAGGCTGGTCAAAGGGTACA